GGGGGGGGGGGGGGGTTGTGCATGATGAATTCATCCGGCCTGTGAATACTTAGCAGCGCAGGCATGTGAATACTTAGCCGTCAAGTATGCTCAGGCTAGCGAGTTTGAGTTCTTCAGTCTCCGAACGTGACTTGAACACATAAACATGCACATGAAAACGGAAAACAGAAGTTCTGAGTCTGAGGGATTCGTAAAAACCGTTTTTGGGCCCGGCGGCCGATGTGGCAGTTGATTCAGTGTGGGGTCGATGCTTTCCTGTGATGTTCCAGTGATCGGTGGAGCGTTGGGGTGGTTGCTTTCCCATGCAAAAACAGCGCCCCTGTGAAGGGGTTCACACTCAGCACCCGAGTGGGACGGCTGAGCAGGACACACTTCGAACTTGGAATTTCAGTTAATGCGATCTCCCGAGGAAAGGAATGGCTCAACGGTAAGGTGGAAAGTCAGCGCAATTGTAGATGTTTGAACAAATGGTTTTCGCACATCTGCAGTTCACAAGAGCAGCGGTGTCGAGCGATCAGCGCGGCTGCACATCTGCGGTGGGGGAAGGTTTTGGGGTCTATCATGAGAAAAACCATGGAACCAACGAAACAGCAGCAGGGTGGACCAGTGGAGTCATTGTGTTGAAAGCAGGTACGTGAACCTGGCGTCCCAGGTTCATATCCTCTCCAATCATCAGTAGCTTCGTTGGCCACAGACTGATGAAAGGAGCTGTGGCCCCCTGCTTGTGGAGTGAAGGTGGTGGAAAAACCCTTTGTCCAGGGTGGGACACACACACACACACCCGCGCGCGCACGCATTTGCACTTACCTTGATGGTGGCAAGCTTGCGCCGTCTGTGGAGAGCCCTGGCATGACAAATTGATCAGGAAACAATAACTGTGGGATCAAATGAGCTCGGGATTGTAGCTTTTTCTGTTCTCTCCGAGGAGTTGTGTCGGGCAGAAAAGGGCTGCTCTGAAGACTCGACTCTCACCCTCACCCATGCCAGGTTAGGTTGTGCCACATGGCGGTCAATTGGGGAAAAAAGTGCATGTCTAACAATAGAACCATCATTGATAACATAGGGTGCTCTTGCATGGACACAACTAAGACTAAGATCCCTCTGGGCTCACTTGGGGCGCTGCTCTTTGCCAATTTCGGAGCGCTTCTTTTTCAGCTCAGCCACCTGTCAAGGAAAGGAAGGAGAATGGTGGGCGACTCGGCGACTCGATACAATCTTAGCAAATGTGCATTGTTAGGGTTGAGGGATGACCAAAATGCTCAAAATTAAGAGCTGAAGGGCAGTCAAAGTTTGTGTAAGTGCCCGCCAGTGCTCTCATGTCTATCCCCCAAAAGAAACTATATATAATTCAAACATCAAACATGTTGAGAATCCCTCATAGACTGTACAGTATTATACAACTATTGTGTGAGCTTCTCGTGAGGTTGCAAATCCCAAGGCACGTTGATTTCTGCTCCAAAGCGTTTGGCTGCTCTCATCACGGAGGTGATCCTCACAGATTGACAATAGCGAAAGAAAAGGATGAATCAGATCGCTTTCGAGAAATTTGGCATTGGAGAAGAATGGTCTTGGATTCTGGCGACTCCAATCGAGAGCCAGTTGGCAAACCCAAGCCATCAAGAGAGCCTACGACATCCCAGCCACCGCAAGCTTGCTGATGCTTTTGAAGCGCGTGCACAAGGACTTTGCAGTTTTCCTTCTGCTACACACTTCAATCATGTGCCTTCGGATGGCTTCAAAGCACTCAGCACCTATTCTCTCTCAAAGCGAGTTTTGCTTGGCAACCGCCAGAGGATAGCTGAGTGTCCACCCAGCTTTTGTTTTGTCTGAAAACTTCTCAGATCTCCACAGACACCGCAGATTCAGAAGAATCACGAGCCTAGGCCAACGGAGGCGAGTCGGGATGCTAAGCGAGGCAAATCAGTTGCTCTATCTTGCGAGCATGTCGTCATGCTGCCCTGAGCATATGTCCATCTGCAGTGCTTTTTGAAGTTTGCTAGGAACCGAGATCGATGGAGGCGCGCTGCTCGATCTCCTGGAACGTAGCAAACTCCGGTGCAGAACTAGATGAGATACCTAAGCCTTACCAAATTCTTGCGCTGTGACAAGTACTTGAGAATTGCACAAACAAATCCAGATGGCATACCAAGTTTGATCTCCTTGTTGAGCCATTGTCAGTGTCGGCTTCTTCCTCCTGAGATCTGCAGGTACCCTCAAACATCTTAAACATAGAACGGAAATGCACGGAGTCAACCCAGCCTGGGGGTGTTGCATCATAAAGCGCCTTCGTCTCCTCCAGATTTCGCTTGGCACATTGGCCTGCCCACAGTCCTCAGCAAAGCGGCGAAAAGCAACTGAAAAGCACGGTTTTCAGGTGTTCAATACTTTCAAAGCCGTTCTAGAAGCACTCTCACCTCCAAAGCGTCCAACAACTCCTCCCAGGCCCTGTCAAACAGCAAACTCTTATCCTGCTTGAAAGGACGTGTATGAACACTGAAAAAAAATATATATATATATAGAGCTCGAAAGAGGCTTTGTTGCATTGTGTTACTGACTGTCCAAAGCCCTCCAATCTGCCTTTGTTTTGCATCTGCTTCCTCGGACTTGACCTGCCGAGTGGATGCAAAAACATGGATGAACCTTTGTGAAACAGAATGGAATAGCGGATAGAGCTTGAATCACCAAATACCGTGCTTCCATATCACCTCGACCACAAGGTGCTCCGGCATTTCAGCAGTTCGGAAGATTCCTGCCGAATTAAAGCGATCTCGGATAAAGTGATGCACTGAGAAAAGGACGGCCACAAGAAACACCAAACAACTATAAAGCGCAACACAGAAATAGATCGGTCGATGAGATTCAGCGAGCAAACCAATGTCAAATGCTGCCAGGGTGGCGATGCTTTAGCCCATCAACCATCGCTGTGAGAAACTCTTCCAACTCGGCCATTAAGCCGTCGCACACAGTCCGTCATGCTACATGCAGTGCACGAAGAAGCAAGATTCAAAGTGTCCGAAGTACTAACGGATAGAGCAACATTGAAAGGTCTGAAAATGTCTTAAACCTACAGGATTTGTAGTGTTCAACCAAGTTGCCTATTCAAGTCAAGTTCAATCTCTGCGGAAGTCTCCTTTGTCTGTCAAAGCGGTCTGCGGTTATACATATCTTTGATATGTGTGTATGGAGTCGTGAGTACTTCAAAGTATGTTTCTCACTCCTCCTTCATGCTTTGAGCCTCTTTGCTCGATGCATGACTTCATGAAAAGGCCGTCTCATCAGGATGAGGATCCATAAAGGAAAAACATTCCTCCATCACCCTGTACATCTTTCCGGCCAAATCCTGGTCATTTGCCCTCATGGCGTGGTACCATGTGGCTTCCACTTTGGCCAACTCTTGTCTGGCCTTTAGATCTGCCCTGTTGTAGGGCCTGTTGAAAAAGTTGAACTTCTGTTCAGGGATCTCAATCGGCTCAGGTTGCCAAGCATCTGGGGGTCCTGCTGGAGCTTCAGGAGTTGTTGTGCTCTCCATGTCCTCGTCCTCATCACCTGGACTTGGTTCTGGTTCAGGTGGTGGAGCGCCTGACTGCACAACCTCTTGAGCTATCTCCAGGTACTCTATGGGCACATTCACAACCTCTCCATTGTCCAGTCGAATCGTGGCTGTGTCACCACTCAGCCTTCTCTCATCATCTTCCGGTCCATCTCCTCCATCATCTCGTGGCGGTCCGGGATCATCTGGTGAAAACCTGTTGGGAATCCTTGACTCTCCCTGCTCTTGTCGACGCTGATTGACCACATCCCATTGAACCTTCAGATGTAGTCCTTCATGTCGTCGATTGACTTTCTCGATGTAGTGGAGAGTTTCCCATTCCAATCCATCACGAATCGAGTGATCCTCCACAAAGCCTCCTCTATAGATCAAGGCTCTATGGATCCTTTGGGTGTAGTCCATCTGCATTGACCACACTTTCTCTTGTTCATCCAAGGAGCTGCGGGTGCTGTACTTGTGAACCTCTAACTCGCTCTCCAAGATCACGATCCTCTGTTCCAGCTCCTTGAACTTCCTCCTCAGCCACCAAACCAGGAAGATCGCCGCCAAGATCATGATCAGGTAGATGAACTTTTCGATGTAGCCATAGCCCTCTCTCTCTGACAGGTCTGGTTCCACCCTTGCGCCAGTAGCCAGCTCAAGACCGCTAACGAAGACCAGCCTGTTCAAATACTTTGCGATTTTCATCACTTTGCCCTTTTCAATGTGTTGCTCGCTGAACTGCTCAAACTCCCGTTGGCCTACTCGACCTCCATCTCCATCTCGGGCCTGCAACCAATAGAGTAGGAGTCTCAGCCTCTGTTGGGAAAGCGGTTTCGTCCCGATGTCAGCCAGGTTGCGAGCTGTCCCAACTTGTCGCACCTCAAGGTCTCCAGATGCAACTTTGCTCTGGCGCCACAACAATTTGCCACTGACGTGGCGCAACTTGCCTGCTCCTCGCTTGCATGCAATCTGCCTTGTAGCTGAATTGTCCACCCAACAAATATGATGCACATCATCTCCTGTCAAGAACTCCAGACTATGCTTCAGACATATGCCATCGCATGCTCCAGAGACCAACGCATGGAGCTCGCTCTCTGCAGATGACAAACTGACTACCTTCTGTCCCCTTGACGAACAGTGCACCACAATGCCATTGATGGTGTGGACTGCTGATGAAGTGCTCCGTCGGGTCACCTTATTGCCACTCCAGTCTGCGTCGGTATATGTCTCCAGGAGCCAGGTGTGGTTGCTATGCATATTCATCCCCTCTCCCCGTTGTGGTAGAGGCAGCATCATCGATTGGTCCTCAGTGTCCTTCAAGTAGCCCAGAAACTTCCTCATCTTCTGGATAGATATTTCTGTGGGGCTTGACATCTTTGAGGCCAACTCTTTGATGCAAAACGCAATGTCACACCTCTCCTGGGCCAAGTAGATACCCATGCCAACAACAGATCTGTATACAGCTGCATCTTGCTGTGGGATCGTGCTGGAGCCATCATAGTCCTGAATATCTGCTGTCGCCGGCAATCGCTGACGCTTGACTGGTCCAAAGTGGTCCTCGAAGGTCTTTACCATATTGGTGGCATAGCTCCCCGGCTTCACTGACAAACCTTCGGGTGTGTAGACATATTTCCTTTTCAGGAAGGAGAATTCATCGCCATAGTTCTTCATCACATTGACTTCTATGTCAAATCTCTTCTTCATGCTCTGGATGAAACTGTTTACAGGCTCCTCCTTCCCCGTGAACATAATGTCGTCCACATGGATCAGTACACACACTAAATCCTCTCCAACTCCTCGCTTTCCAAGGCACGGGTTGATGATGTCAAAGCTGAAGCCCTGTTCCTCGATCAAGTAGCTCCTCAAATGTTCATACCATGCCTTCGCCCCAATCCTCTGACCCGGCAAATTGCGTAGCACCTTGTACTCCCAAACTGCCGTAGTGATGCGCAGTGGTTTCTCCTGAGGGACTTGCAAGAAGGCATCCTTGACATCTAGAGCTCCTATCACCGGCTTTCCCTTGTAGTGCTCAAAGTCCTTCTCCATGCTGGCCGCACTCAAGAAAAGCACCGGCAAAAGGCGGAGAGCATACTGTCCACTTGCAGGGCTGTACACATCATCTCTCTTGTCATGTGCATAATCTCTGGCTACCAATCGTGCTCTTCTCAACCACCTCTTGCGCTGAGTGCCACTCTTCTCAACATAGGTTTTGATGCGCCAGTCATAGACGAACCTGGTGGTGAGCACATCAAGATCAGCCTCTTGAGGCGTCAGCTTCTCGATGACATCCATTCTCATCAATCTTCTTTCCTCCACTCCTCGTGCCAAGGCATCTACTTCTTCTGAAGGTTGAGGCGGCGTATTGGTCAATGGATGATCAGACCATAGCCCTTCAGGAACCACCCCATGTTTGAGGTCTTCGACATCCTCCTGGTCCTCGTCGATCATGAGAGTCTCCACATCCACTACCTCGTCCAAATGATACATGTCCTCTCCAGCAACTCGGACATGCTCAACACGTCTTTCAATCATAGCTGATCGGGAGGCAGATGTGGAATGGCTTTCTCGTTCAGGTTCATCTATCCTCAACCTCTTGCTGTCCGGCTCGATCTTCACTGCCGATGAAGGTGGTGGGAGCTTTCGCAAAACTCTCCCTTCAGGAGGCACTTGATCGTTCTCCTCCCATGGGAGTGGTGGAATCACCATGGGAGTATCTCCTCCTGGGCCCCTACCCTCAGACTGCTCAACAGGAGCTGGGGGTGTCACCATTCCAGTATTGGGCTCATCATGTTGCGGGGCACTTGGTGCTGGAAGACCTTCAACAGCATCTTGCATCTCTCTCTCTTGCCGGACCTCATCAATCTCCTTCTCGTGTTCAGCAACACCTTCCTTGGATTGGGCATACCTCTTCACCTCTTCAGCATCCTCATCCTTGTATTTGAAGAACACTGACTCCAGAGCGGGCATATTTCCGGTCCTCAATGGGATTCCTGTGACGGCTCTCTTCGTCGGGATGATGCGTCCACCAAAATTGGTTTGGTATTCCCAGCTGGCCGTCTCAAAGTTCTGGTAATAGCTGAGGAATCCTGTCCAAGGCCTGTTCACCCGTCTGATTGATCTGGTCAGCATGATCTGGCTGCCATCACCAACAATCCAGGCATCCTGTCCATCAGTCTTTCCCAGGAAGATTGACATTCTCCATCTCGGATTGCCTTTGCCGCTCTGAGGGCGAACATAGGCGTACACTGGACATCCAAAGGGAACAATGGCTCCGTCATATGTTCTTCCATGGGCCAACTCATAGCTGGTGATACCTCTTGTAGCTTGGTAACGGTTCAGCAACCAGCATGCATGTCTTGAGGCCCAGCTCCATAGAGTATGGTTGGTATTGTACGCTAGGCCAGTTCTTTCTGCAACATCTGCCATCAATGTACATGTCAGCCCTCTCACACGCTGAATGGCATTTTCTGCTAGGCTGTTTCCTGCCGAGTCACGGACCTTGGTGGTGTAGAGCCTGGTTCTCAGTCCCATTGCATGCCGACTGTTCAGCACTATGCGAAGGAGGGACCTCATAGTTGGCTCGTTGTCTGCGTACAAACCAACCTCGACATGGCCCAGGCTCTGAATGAAGGTCATGATCTCCCTGGCCATCAAACTCAATTGTCCCTTTGACTTCAACGGGACTGACCCCAAAGCTCCAGTTTGGCTATCCACCATGATCAGCCACAACGCGGGCTTGAGCTCCTTGATACGAAGTTCCTCAGCCTCCTTTCTCTCATCCTCCTCGTAGAGGTCAATCGTTATCTCTTCCTCCTGTTGCCCTCGGTCTCGAGGTTGTGGATTCCTGTCAATCTCTCCGGCCTTCGTGTAACATAGGTCCAGCGAGATAATGGGGATTCCACTCAACCTCGAAGCACCAGTCCTGAGATGTCTATCAGGTCGTCCTCGGTGCTTCAAGCATGATGCGCACCAAGGCTGGTAGGGCACATGGGTCAAACAATGTCGATCCTGCTCCTCCTGCGAGGGAACTTTGATGCCCAACTGCTCCCGTGGTTGACGAGCCACCTGTAGTTGTGCTGCTGCAACTGCCTCGGCTGCCGCCTTAAGCTCCATTTCTTTCATATGGCTGACCAACCTCTGGTAGCACTTCAAGCGGCTGCCTGACTGGCTCACACCAAAGAAGTTGCAAGCTGCTCGAAGTTGTCGCAGTGGGCTCACTGATGTCAACTGTATCCCATTCACCAGGATATGGTCTGGCATTCCAGGCCCTAGAGCCAACTGTGCCTCTTGGACCACCGCCTCTTCCTCAATCTCCACTCTTTCCTCCTGTGGTTCATCAACAGGAAGCTCACCAGCTTCCTCCATAGCCACTTCATGATCTCGAACTCGAATTGGCTGCTCTTCTAGATCCAACCCGGTCTCCACTTCAAAGCCCATCTCTTCAACACTCATAGCCTCCTCCGTGAGGATGGTAACCACGAGCACATTCTCAACAGCCCCCTCAATCTTGATCGAGAATTCGATGCAAATCCTCGCACATCTCTAGAAGCTGCCAGTTCCCAGCTACCTTTGCCAGAGTTGTTCGCTTCCAGCTCGTCGTCGATGAGATGTCTCCCACATACTGTGGACTCTGAAAGGTCTTTCCCAGATGGACTCCAATCCACCTGTCTTCGGCCTTCCTCCATCCCACCTGATACTTGATCTTCTCCTCGAGGTCCTGCTTCAACTTGGCCTCGAGCACACGAATTGTCTGGGGCTCTGCCGAAATGGCTCGAACACTTCCCTCGGCCACCAAACTCTTGTTCTGCAACCGTAGGGGAATCCTGATCTCCTTCTCCCCCACGCCATACACTAGTGAATGGTCTGAAATTCCCCATCCACTCTCCATCAACCTCCCAAATGAGAGGATTGGCTGAGTGATGCCGCTCGAGAAGTGGGCCTTCTCGAAGACCTGTATCTCCTTCCCATTCTCTGCCTCGAAGACAAAGCACACGCTCTTGTAACCCTCGATGGCGATCTTCTCACCTTGGGCGTCCTGAAGCACAGGCCCTTCCTCCTCAATTTCAACTCCAGCTGCCAAAAATGAAGTTGGCAGCGCTGTTGCATCGGCACCTGAGTCCACGATGATCGAGCAAGGTCCATGGTCACTCTGCACCCTCTTGCCCTCGCTCACCATCATGATGTTCAGGTCCTGCTTCACCTCCTCATTGAAATCCTCACTGTCCAGGTGGTAGAACTGAATCATCCTCACCTGGCCACCATGCACGTTGCCTCGTAGATCGAAGATCAAAGGCTCTTTAATTCCTGTGAAACCAAGTCCACCTCCACTATTCTCTTCACAGCAGCTGTCTTGGCCGTCGTGGCCTGGCTTGTACTTGAGGTCCAGGTTGACGATGCATCACCTTGGCTCTGCTGCTGTTGCTGGTGGGGCGAACCATCTGCAACTTGTCTCACTCGCCAGCAGTCACGGGCAAGATGTCCGGGCTTTCCACATGTGTAGCAGGTCTTGACAGGCCCGCCATCTGTCTTTCCTTTCTGACCCTTGCTTCCATCACCCTTGACATTGCCCTTTTGTTGACCCTTGCCCTGACCATAATCTTGACCTTTCTGCTGGCTCTTGCCTTTTCCTTTCGCATTCTTGCCATCTCCCTTGCCTTTGCCCTTGCTGTTGCTGTAGGCCTCCTTGCCTTTGCCCTTGCTCTTCCCTTTGTCGCCCTTCTGTCCAATGCGGTCGACCTCCATCGGTGCTGGTCCTCCGGAATCCTGACCAAGCATCATTGTCGAGCTCCACCTCAAAGTGGCATTATCATATTGAATAATGGCTTCACGAAGCCGGCTGTAGTCCTGTGTCTCAGCCACGTTGAGTTGAAGCCAGGTCTTCAACTGACCGCTCACACATTTCATCAAAATGGCGAACTTCAAGCTGTCCTCAAGCCGACTGCCGGTGCGCTCATACTCGATGAAGGCTTCTTCCAACCGCAGGAGTTGAGCCAAGATGCCACCTTTCTTCATGTCGAACTGGCTCCACTCCAGGATCATCGTCAACAATCCCAACGAGCGGTTTTTGCTCGCTGGTTCAAGCGACTGCACCAGCATTCTATAGGCCTCTAGGCCATTGGCTTCTTTCACCTGCTTGATGAGGGACAAGGGGCGCTGTCGAACAAGTGAGGCCAGCAACGCATAGAGAAATGACCCTCGTTGGCGTTCTTCATCAGATTGAATCGAAGGGTCAATGGGGCGATCTGGATTCTCCCGAATCTCTTTGAAATCATCCGTGAAGCTGGCATCCAACGAAGCCAAATATTGCTCCAGCCCCCAACTGAAGTCTCTCCACATAGCCAGCTCATCCTCACGGGATTTCGGCTCGAAGTTGCCTGGCTTTGGGAGCACTCGAAACCAGGCCTTGTCGTCCTGACTTCCCTTCTTCTGAATGGCCTCAGCGGCCAAACGAGCCGCCACGCTAGCAGATTCAGCTGCTTGAATCATACGCAGCGCCAGCTCTTGCCCATCAACTCGTCCTCCTGTCGGTGAGCCTGCAGGGGACATACCAGGTGACCCCAAAGCTTCTCCATAAGTTCCCATTCTCCTTGGAAAGGACCTCCTTGATGTCCACGATGAGGCCACGAGTGATCTTCACCTTCAAATAGCCTCTAGCAAGGATTGCCGAGATGGCTTATGACCGCCCCTCCGGATCGGGTCCTGTCCGGATTGCTAGGAGCTTCCTGGAGCCTCAGGTGAGAGTCAAGCAATCACCATCCCGGGCTCCGCTACCATGCGGAAGTCTCCTTTGTCTGTCAAAGCGGTCTGCGGTTATACATATCTTTGATATGTGTGTATGGAGTCGTGAGTACTTCAAAGTATGTTTCTCAATCTCCAAACTTAGCGATCGACACGAAGTTCCATTGGCACGACAAGATTTGGATTTCGATACATCGCCTCAAAGCCAATCGGAAACTCAAAACTGCGAGATTCAAGGACATAGACAGAACATCATGTGAAACAACCGCAAACAATCATAGACAGTCACACACCATACTATCATATGTCGACCATAGTATGCAAATGTTCTTCGTTTCCATAATAATAATGAGTGTTGTTCAATTCTGTCTGAGTTTCCTCAGCGTTTGGCCAGTGCAAGGCACACCTCTTGAAAGTCTTCGAAATGAAGTGAGTCGACCCTCGGCAACATCTTTTGCAACTCAATCAAACAAGCAGTTCTCACCTGCTGGACCTACACAGCTAAACAGCCGCTCTCTATGCTTGCAAATTGCCTGGGAAACTGCTGACTCGTTTTGTCTTATTCGATGTTTTTGTTCCTTTTCGTGTCTCTTTTTTCTTTCACAACATTTTTCTCATCTCTCCTCTTTACTCATTTAGTTGCAATGTCTTGCGTCGTCCACCCTTGAGCGACACGCGCTGTGAGCTCTGCAAAGTAAGGTTGTGCCCCCTGCCCAGTAGTAGGGTCGTTTTCAATGCACGAATAGAACACCAAGAGCAAAATCAAGTTAAGCCCGACTACCGGTTGACAAACACAAAGAATGACAAGTTATTCCCCAAACAGTGTGGCCACACTAAGGGTTCTCAGTAGTAGTTTAGGCCAGGTTCTGATCGGAGGTGTTCATCGGCGGGCGGTCCAAAGTCGACTTCTCGTGGCAGGCGCAGGAGATCGGAACAGTTATACTTCGACGTGCAGATTCCGTGGCAGGCACGGTGAATCGTGATCTTTGGGCATGCGGTTCGTTCTCAGAAGTTGGCGGAAGTCTCGAGCGAAAGCTGGGATTTGGCATCTTGGTGATGTCATTGGAAGGGTTCTTGCTGCAAAACACCTTGGCAGGGCTGCACGATGTGAACTTTTCTTTGCAGGTGTCTTTTTTCGTGGCAGGCTCAATATTTTGTTGACCTTCAATATCAGATTTCAAAGACGGCGCAGCGCTTTGTGGACCTTGGAGTGCAGATTTCGTATGATTTCGTGACAGGCGCAGCGCTGTGAGAAGCTTGAAGCGCAGATTTCGTGGCATTCGCAGCACTTTGTGCACTTTGCAGTGCAGATTTCGTAGCAGAAGCAGCACGTAGACCTTGAAGTGCAGATTTCGCGCCAAGCGTAGCACTTTGTGAACCTTGAAGTGCAGATTTCCTGCTATTGCGGAGCTTGAGCTGCAGATTTCGTGGGAGGCGTAGGGATTGTGCTCTCATACGCATGCTCTCATAGGGATTGTGCTCTGAGCTCCCATATGCGCGCTCTCATGTCTGTCTGTCCTTTCATCTATGTCCTCTCAGACCTGCCCAAGATCTCTAGAATCTCTAGACATCTCTCTCCACCCTCTAGACCAAGAACTCTGGACCTAGACACCCTACCATCACCACCAACATCACCACCGCCATCACCATCACCATCACCATCACCACCACCACCACCATGATGATCACCAGCACCATCCCCACCATCATCACCACTACCATGTCCACCACCATCACCGCCACCATCACTACCATCACTACCATCACCAACATCACCACCACCACCATCACCACCAACATCTCCACCATCACGACCACCGCCACTACCAGGCATCCCCGCCACCATCACAACCACCAGCACCAGCACCGCCACCTCCTCCACCAGCATCATCACCACCACCACCATCACCACCTTCACCGCCTTCACCTCCTCGTGCGTCTTGATCTCTAGACCTTCTGCTTCTACACCTCTAGACCGTAGCCTTTTAGACACGCTGCTTGGGGTCTCTTTGGGTGTTGATTTTTTTGGTAGCCGCCCACTTCAACCACCACCAATCACGCCCCTCACTGGCGACACGCGGCATTTACACACGCATGTGTACCCTTCACCAAGGATGGCCCAAAGTTACGCAAACGCACTTTCCACCGAGGCTGCGCAAAACCACACGGCACAGCGACATCACCTTTCAAAATCTGTAGTTGTTATGTAGTTTGATGAAAATCTTACAAGCGCAAAAAAAACTGCGAGTGTAACAAAGGATCTTGTGTATATATACCTGAGAAAGGAGAGGACGAAAGCCAGCGAGAGACCAATATGGTAGCGCAAGACTGGGCGGAAAAAATAGCGGAGCACTTATTGTTGAATGCCTGTAGCTCTCGTGGAGCTTGTATCAACGTGGAGTAGATCAAAATCGGAGCACAGCATGAAGTGTTGAAAGTTTTTGGCTTTCTCGATTTTCCTGGCGCGGTGCTCTCTGGAGCGTCCCTGTTTGGTCGTCTATTTGAGAATCCGTGTAAAGTCCTTTGCTTTGTAGCTGCTTAGGGCAGCCTGTATGCAGCCGAGGGCGCTTAGGGGCTCAATTTGCCCATGGGTCCTTCAGATGTGGAGGCCCCCTAGAATAAATATGTGCCACTGGCTGGCTCCTTCCTGCACCACTTGCCATTGCCATTGCAATTGTCAACAGTCCTGGCCCTGTTACATTCTCACCGGTCCCCCTAAGCTCTCACTAGGAGGGGAACCTATACTTGGACATTCAACGCAAAATCAATTCAAACACGTGGTTTTGCATTCAGATGTTTAAGAAATTTTAGAAACTATTCCTGAATGTGAATGACATACCAGAATAATTTCCAGCATCGATGTGACTAGGGGTCAGACTGATTTATAAATTGTTCCATTGAGAGGGGGTCCCCTTAGGCCACGGCCCGTTTGAACACAACCAAAAACCACCTTTCGGGCATCCTTCTCCTGGTCTTCACTGACGTGTGAAAAGGTTGCAGAGCCAGGACTGTGGACAATTCCAGATTGTACATGTATGTACGTCCCTCTGGGTTCTTCTGGTATCTCTCTCGTGTATGTACATGTGTGTACATCTTGGAATATTATTCCAAAAATTATTCCAAATTTATAGGTAGGACCTTGAACCACTACCTAGCTAAAATACTTTTCCAGAAATACTATTCCAAAAAAATATTCCAGTAGGTCAGATGACCCCTGGAATAATGTTTTAAGCCATCCCCTATGTTTTCAAAAGTGTTTCGGGCGTCGCGCATCAATGCGAAGCCCTATAAAGAGCAGAGCTGGGAGAAAAAAGAGGAGAGCATTCATTCTTGAATGGCTGTAGTTTTCGTGGAGCTGGTATCACTGCGACTGAGATCAAGATCGGAGCACAGCATGAAGTGTTGAACGCTTGCAGCTTCTTGCTTCTCCTCTTGCGGCGCTCTTATCCCCAAGCCTCTACCTCGCCCAACTGGACATACTCACACCGTTCGCTCCCAGAGCGTTCACTCTTTGTTGCTTGGTTCTTCTTGGTATGATCAGAGCTACACAGTCCCTATGCCCTGCTCAGGACTAGAAAAAACTGTCTCCAGACCCCTTTCATGATGCTAACGATGCACTACTCGGCGTCCATTGCATCACTCCCATCACCAGACCCCCAATTCACTGCGTTTCTGACCCTTGCTTTGGAGCGTTTTTTCGCACCAAGCTCCGGATTCACCCTCTCAAAAGGTGCCTTTTCGCGCCCTCCCCCCCCACACCCCCTTAACTCACTTCGTTCGCTGAAAGAGCTCAAGCTTAGCCTATCCACTGGCTTTCATAATAGTTTACACGTAGTTCCCGGGCAAGCCGGCGGCGGAAGTTTCCAAAAGAAGAAGCCTATAAGAAATTGGCATGTGGCAGGCTGATTCGCCAAGTTGCGATGTTGTTTGACAAAACAAGTTGGAACCGACCAATGGAGCGAAAGCGAAGCAACCACTGTCAACTGTCTCGCAGGAAAAAACGTTGTTCATGCATTTTTGCAATATACAGAATAGAGATGACTCAGCTGCGTACTAAAGTTGTACTACAAAGTCGCCAGTCCTCAGCTTCCAGCTCCACGGCTTGCTCCGCGTACTAGAGTTACTACTACAAAGTCGCCAGTTCTCAGCTTCCAGCTCCACAGATAATCCGCGTACTATAGTTGTACTACAAAGTCGCCAGTTCTCAGCTTCCAGCTCCACAGATTGCTCCGCGTACTAAAAGTTGTACTACCAAGTCGCCAGTTCTCATCTTCCAGCTCCCCAGATACTCCGCGTACTAAAGTTGCACTACAAAGTCGCCAGTTCTCAGCTTCCAGCTCCACAGGTTGCTTCGCGTAATGAAGTTGTACTACAAAGTCGCCAGTTCTCAGCTTCCAGCTCCACGGCTTGCTCCGCGTAGTAGAGTTATACTACAACTACAAAGTCGCCAGTTCTCAGCTTCCAGCTCCACAGATCTCCGCGTACTAAAGTTGTACTACAAAGTCGCCAGTTCTCAGCTTCCAGCTCCACAGATTGCTCCGCGTACTAAAGTTGTACTGCAAAGTCGCCAGTTCTCATCTTCCAGCTCCGCAAATACTCCGCACACAAAAGTTGTACTACAAAGTCTCAGTTCTCAGCTTCCAGCTCCACAGATGCTGTGCCTGCCACGAAATCTGCACATGGAGGTTCACAAAGTGTTGCGCCTGCCACGAAATCTGCACATGGAGGTTCACAAAGTGCTGCGCCTGCCACGAAATCTGCGCATGGAGGTTCACACAGTGCTGTGCCTGCCACGAAATCTGCGCATGGAGGTTCACACAGTGCTGTGCCTGCCACGAAATCTGCACATGGAGGTTCACAAAGCGCTGTGCCTGCCACGAAGTCTGCACATGGAGGTTCACAAAGCGCTGCGCCTGCCACGTAATCTGAACATGGAGGTTCACCAAGCGCTGTGCCTGCCACGAATTCTGCACCTCAAGCTTCACAAAGTGCTGCGCCTGCCACGACTTCTGCACGTGGAAATTCACAAAGTGCTGTGCCTGCCACGAATTCTGCACATGGAGGTTTACAAAGTGCTGTGCCTGCCACGCAATCTGCACATGAAGGTTCACAAAGTGCTGTGCCTGCCACGACATCTGCGCGTCAAGAAACAAGTGTGAAAACTCTAATCACAATGGAGGGACGATTCCGAGAATGATCCGAGCATGACCCGAGACCGTCTCGCAACCGTCGTTCCGCGGAGCTTCCCCGTCGAGGTTCGGAGAAGCATGGAGGTTCACAAAGCGCTGTGCCTGCCACGAAATCTGCACATGGAGGTTCACAATGTAATGCGCCTACCATGAATTCCGCACATGGAGGTTCACAAAGCGCTGCGCCTGCCACGTAATCTGCACATGGAGGTTCACAAAGCGCTGTGCCTGCCACGAAGTCTACACATGGAGGTTCACAAAGCGCTGCGCCTGCCACGTAATCTGCACATGGAGGTTCACAAAGTGCTGTGCCTGCCACGAATTCTGCACATGGAGGTTCACAAAGCGCTGCGCCTGCCACGTAATCTGCATATGGAGGTTCACAAAGTGCTGTGCCTGCCACGACATCTGCGCGTCAAGAAACAAGTGAAAACTCCAATCGCAATGGACGGACGATTTCGAGAATGATCCGAGCATGACCCGAGACCGTCTCGCACCCGTCGTTCCGCGGAGCTTCCCCGTCGAGGTTTGGACAAGGATGGAGGTTCACAAAGTGCTGCGCCTGCAACGAAATCTGCACATGGAGGTTCACAAAGTAATGCGCCTGCCACGAAATCTGCACATGGAGGTTCAAAAAGTGCTGCGCCTGCCACGAAATCTGCGCATGGAGGTTCACAAAGCGCTGTGCCTGCCACGAACTCTGCACATGGAGGTTCACAAAGTGCTGCGCCAGTGGTGTATGATGAGTGGTGCATGATGAGTGGTGCATGATGAGTGGTGTATGATGAGTGGTGTATGATGAGTGGTGTATGATGAGTGGTGCATGATGAGTGGTGTATGATGAGTGGTGTATGATGAGTGGTGTATGATGAGTGGTGTATGATGCGCGGTGTACTGTATGATGAGCGGTGTATGATGAGTGGTGCATGATGAGAGTGGGGCATGATGAGTGGCGTATGATGAGTGGTGTATGATGAGTGGTGTATGATGAGTGGCGGATGATGAGTGGTGTATGATGAGTGGTGTATGATGAGTGGTGTATGATGAGCGGTGTATGATGAGTGGTGTATGATGAGTGGTGCATGATGAGTGGGGTATGATGAGTGGCGTATGATGAGTGGTGTATGATGAGTGGTGTATGATGAGTGGTGTATGATGAGTGGTGTATGATGAGTGGTGTATGATGAGTGATGGATGATGAGTGGAGAATGATCAGTGGTGTATGATGAGTGGTGGATGATGAGTGGTGTATGATGGGTGGTGTATTGATGAGTGGTGTATGAAGAGTGGTGTATGTTGAGCGGTGTATGATGAGTGGTGTATGATGAGTGGTGTATTGATGAGTGGTGTATTGATGAGTGGTGTATGAACAGTTCTTGAATGTCCGAAACACGGAAGTTTCGTTCACTAAACTTCCTTTGATAACGTTCCTAGAGGACTTTTCAGTTTTGAAGCTCTTCCCTTGTTTCCTATCTTGAGGACACCCCCTATCAACAAAAACGACACCGGAGGTTCTTGAGGGAGGGGGGGCTTTGATAGGTGGAAGGGATTGATTGGAGGTCTAGTCTATCTACACTCCTGACCTGTGAGCAGTTTTGAGCGCTTTCACATAATGCAGTGGTCCTCTTACTCTGCGCGCAAACTGCGAGACACTTATCAAATGCGTTGCCACACTCACAACACAAGGCTATCGACATCGCTTTTGTAGTGGTGATCCTTGCTTTAACAAGTTTGAAAACCAAAGATGTGTTTCGCAAAGCCAACGCTGCCGCTTGGATCGCATTTGTTCTCGAACACATCCGAACAAAACCTTCAGCCGGCCGATGGCCCAAGCCTTGAGCTGTGGAGGCATAGAGCGAGCACGCTTGCCTTTCCGCCCTCTGCGGCGCACCTCCGTACTCAAAGCACTTAAAGAGGAAACAGCAGAAATATAGAAATCAAGTAAATGCGCTTGCCTTGGTTTCTTTAGACCTTTACACCGTTTTTCCTTCCTGTCCTTCTTTTTCCCTTCTTGACATCCGTATCTCTTGGGACCAACAACTGGGCGAGCAATAAACAAGACCTGCTGTTTTTGTGGCCGCTCTTTTCAGCGTCAATCTGCCTGCCTCTGCCTGACCCCGAAAGCAGAATTTGCTGGAGACCGATGTGAAATGGCGTCGGTTCGCCATGCTTTGGTAAACAGACCTGCGCAGCAGTCCCGTAACAATAACAAGAGCAAAGCTTGCCATTTATACGCCGCGGCCCACCTTGTGGAAGCGCGCGACAAAGTAGCACCTTGCAAAATTCTCGACAAGGGAAACTAAACGGTTTTTTATTGACAAACTTGTCAAGTTTCACATCGACGACACCTGCCTAACAAGTTGGCATCAGAAAGAAGATTCACCAAGGAATCCTGCTTTCTTGGTCGCATTGAGCGAGACGTAAGAACTTCTTGCGAAACCACTGGCGACCTTGAATTTCCCATCGTACAGTTATTAAGTATTGAACATGAATAATGGATGGTTAATTACATGAGCCTCTGCCTTTAAAGTGAGGTTGTGTATTGCTCATTCCTTGCAAACTGCGTCTGACTGGCGTAGTTTCAACAAATAAAACAATGGGTAGGCCCTAGCAAGGCGTTGCGCCAGTGCCGATTAGTAATTCGCTACCGAATGTGCAGCTTCAGGTCCTCTCCCATTCGCAACTCTTCCTGTGGACAAAACAAAGATCATACAAATCAAATCTCCAGGACTCTTTGAAACTACCTCTTGGCAGCTCAATTCGCTCTCTCAAAGGAGATCCTCTGGTCTATTGCAAATGTGGCCTTGCTCTGCATACCTCAGCAAGCATTCTCGGACTTGGCTATGAGTGCATGCCACTTGTCTGCAACCAAGGTTCATAGGACTCACGTGAAAATGTCTATCTACGATACTACTTGCGTAAAAAAAAATATATATATATATATAGACATATATATATATATACAAATATTTCTATACACATGCCTGAGAGGGGAGGGGACGAAAGCCAGCTTCTGGCTTAGGGGGTGCTCGTGGCGTGCAAGAGGGGGCACCATCGGGGAAAGAGAAAGTTCGTGGTGCGAAGTTGACATCGCAGCCACAGGGAGAGGGTGTAGAAAGGGGGGGAGGCACCCTTTTCTGTCCTTGTTTAAGTGGAATTTTAAGATGAAAAAGGGCACCCCTCAGGAAGTGAGGCGCCTTTGCCGGCGGCGTGTTGCGAACCAGGGAGCAGAGACGGCGGCGGGGGTGCACGTGCGAGGCAAAGGGTAGGGTAGGTGAGGAGGTCCCCGTATATCATATAGACATCCGTGTGCAAGGTAGAGTGGAAAAAGAGCAGCAGGAAGTGGTGAGGTGGATATGGGAGGGACGTGCGGGTGGAAGATGAAGTGATAGGCTATAACATTACGTCATTATGTAAAGAGTACGTGTATGGGGTGAAGTTGGCATCGCCGGCGCGTGATAGGAGGTAGAAACAGACGGTAGAAGTAAAAGGGGGACGCCCTTTTTCGTTCTGGTTGAGCAGTGTTTTGGAGGTGAAAAAGGGCACCCTCAAAGATTGCACGTGAGTTCGTCAGCTGCGTGTTGGTAATGAGTGACCAGAGACCAGAGACAGTTGTGGGCGAGGCCATCGGCAGGCTTTCGCGAGGACATATACTCACTTCGTTCGCTCCAACGCTTGCCCGCAAGATGAAATGATTGGGTAACATCGGGCAAAGAGTACTTTTGCGGGTGTGAAGTTGACATCGCAGCCACACTGATAGGGGGTAGAAACAGAAAGTAGAACGCGTAGCTCGGGGGGGGGGCTTTTTTGTCCCGGTCAGGCGCGTTTTGGAGGTGAAAAAGGGCACCCCAGTGAGGAGCACTTGCCTGCGGCGTGTTGCGAATCAGTGAGCGAGGCTATGGGCAGGCTATGGTGAGGATACACATATGTACATAGGTAGAGTGGACAAAGTAGCCGGAAGTGGTGAAGTTGATATTGGAGCCACTTGAGCGTGCAAGATGAAGCGATTGGCTAACATCGCGCAAAAAGTACTTTTATGGGGTGAAGTTGGGATCGCAGGCGCCCGATAGGAGGTAGAAACAGAAGGTAGAATTAAAAGGGGCGGTGTCCTTTCTCGTCCAAGTCCAGGAGTGCTTTGGAAATGAAAAAGGGCACCCCTCAAAATCCTCAAATATATTATATGAGTTTGCTTGCTGCGTGTTGCTAATCAGTGAGCAAAGATGGTTGTGGGAAGCCTATGGGCGAGGCTATCGGCTGGCTTTCGCCAGGTTGCATATATGTAAATAGGTAGTGGACAAAGAGGAGCCGGAAGTGCTGAAGTGGATATGGCCGTCATTCGAGACAGAATGGAAGTAGACAATAGAATACATCGGTTTGGGACGGGGTGCCCTTTTTCGTCTTGACGTCAAAGCGTTGGAGGTGAAAAAGGGCACCCCTGTAATTAGTCCGGGGAAGGTTTGGTATGGTGTGCTGGTCTATGTTTCAAATGAGTTGACGGCTGGCTTTCGTGATCAGATACTCCCCATATGGGGTGCCCTTTTGGGCACTCCTGAGCAACTCAAAACCTTCCGCCTCCAACGCTTGCCCGCAGCTGCAATCTGTTCTCTTTCCTGCTCTCAAGTATACGGTGACTTCTAACCAGCTTTTCACGTCCCCTTGTCTTCCCTTTCCTCTCATCGACGTGAACTCCCACCCCTAATAAAAACAGTTTACATGGCCTCCTGGGCCCCTCATGATGCTGATGATGCACTACTGGCCGTCAATTACATCACCGGCGTCGCAACACCCCCAAAAACCACTCATTTTCACTACCAAGTGGCCCGCCTCTTTTTGTCGCTCTCCCCACCAGGCTCTGGGCTCACCTCTCCGGAAGTGACCACCCACGCGACCACCCCCCCCCACACCCCCTTTACTCACTTCGTTCGCTCCAGAAACTCAAGCCTAGCCTACCGGCTGGCTTTCGTGATATTTTTATTATAGTATATATATAAAGACTCCGGTCAGACCGCTCAACTTTTCTAGCTTTGCAAGGTCCAGTTTGTCAAATTAAAAGGATAAACTACAATGAACAACTTGCTTCTGTCTCCCTGGTAGACCGTCGCCATGCCGAACGGAAAACCAGCCCGAAGACACACACACATTGCCCTCTTTCCCTCCGCCATGCCGGAGAAAGAAAGAGGCCTCACAATGTGAAAAAGAAAAACGGAGACACCTCTCCTATGTTCATTCCCGACTCATCTCAGACATAATGCTCCCTCGCATTTTTTCTGGCTTTCTTCTTGTCCTTGGAGCTCTTTCCTCCAGACTCCCAACACCCTCAGCGGGAGGGAGGGAGTGGATGCTGAGCCAGTGCTGCGGAGAAAACTTTCTCTTGACTCCCCTACGTCTTTAAACACGGGGGCGTAGTTACAAAGACTCCGGTCAGACCGCTCAACTTTTCTAGCTTTGCAAGGTCCAGTTTGTCAAATTAAAAGGATAAACTACAATGAACAACTTGCTTCTGTCTCCCTGGTAGACCGTCGCCATGCCGAACGGAAAACCAGCCCGAAGACACACACATTGCCCTCTTTCCCTCCGCCATGCCGGAGAAAGAAAGAGGCCTCACAATGTGAAAAAGGAAAAACGGAGACACCTCTCCTATATGTTCATTCCCGACTCATCTCAGACATAATGCTCCCTCGCATTTTTTCTGGCTTTCTTCTTGTCCTTGGAGCTCTTTCCTCCACGTCCCCCTGGCCTGCTCTTCAGAGCTGGTTCAAGCACTGGCACAGGGGAACGACACGAATTCATAAAAATCTGACGGAAACGGCGATTAACAGGGGTCCATGGTAGGTGCATACTTGCCAAGACAGCGAGGCCATCGTTGACATAGGTGCGGGCGGTGCGGGCATTTTGCCACCTTCCGTAAAGCAGGAGTCTATCGAGAGACCCCCACTTTCGAAACCAATACGTAGCTCCACCCCTTCGGAGCGAATAGGGTCTGAAGTCAAATGTATCAAATTCCAGAGCTACCAGGGTGTCGTTAAACATTTTGCGCCATTGCGCAGGTTTTGCACATAACGGAGTTTTGAGAGGAACATCTAAAGTCCATCGGTGCAGCCATCGGATGACTTGTTCAGAGGTCAAGCTGACGCTCTCCGCTGGTGCTTGGCGTTGGCCACCTTTAGTATATCCCAACGCGACCACTGCTGGTCCACGCTCTGACGACACTGACACATCACTAGACGTTAGCCCTAGCAACTCTCCCGTTCGGAGGACTCCATAGAAGCCCACGAGGAGTGAAATGGCGAATTGGTACTGATGGTGGAAAATGGCATATCCGATCATGGCCTGTAAGGCTTCTTCTGGAAGCGGGGGCGCCCGGCTAGGAATCTCATTGACGTTCCAAGCCTTTAAAAGGCGCCAGGTAGCAGGTAGCTGTTTCCTGACATTGGGCTGTGCATCCTGTATCCCCGCTACGGTATCAGCAGCGAGTGCTCGGCCAAAGCCTTCGCTCCACAGATGCTCTACATAAATGCACAGCACTCGGTCAAGCTCAAACGGTCCTTTGGGGAACGGCAGGTTCTCACGGCGCAGAAACGCCCAAAATTGCTCCAGTGCCTTTTCATACCTGGCTCGGGTTTTTGGCTGTACAGTAAGGGAGTGCAGTGTGCCTAACTCAGCTCTTCGCTTCTTTCTCTCTACTTGTGAGCATCCTTCTACATGTGCTTTGGCTACTTTAGCCATTTCTTCTTCACAGGACGCCGACTCGGGCGGTCGGCTGGGTTCAACTCTGTGTGAACATACGTCCACACGCCATGCGCACCAGATGCCAACAAGAGAGAGTTAATGCGAAGCAGCGTCCGTCGAAGCTTACGACTGCTGGAGCGGCCACGCGCCAGAGCGTGGAGGCACACTTGACTGTCCACGAGATGCAAAAACCGAGTGCGAATCCAACCCTTTCGGGCAAAGCGCCACTTCAGAGCCGTCAGCACAGCACGCATTTCCAAGACGTTGATGTGCTCAGGACTACCGGACCATCGCCATCCGCACACTGTCTTCCAACGCCACAGATTGGACGGGATGCTGGCTCGGAGACGATGATACCTCTGCACATCTTCGGAGGGCGCCTGCAACAACAAATCTTCTCCTTTTCCGCTGACCAGGCCTGTCAGTTTACGCGCAAGAAGATCCGGTTGTGGCTCCACTGACGACCGTGGCACACGCATGAAAGGACGCAACAAATAGCCCTGGAGACGCGTGCCTCCCCCCGGCTGGCACTGCCGCATCAGATCCTCCATGGAAAGACGGTTGCACAGTCCTCGAGGCACTCCCAGACAATGTAAAAGCCATGCAATGACAAACACACACCAAGAATTGCCAATGAGAGACAAGCGCTCATCCATCCAAGACGTTCCATGCCGTTGACCTTTGGGCAAACAATGTGCTGTGTAGCCTTTAGGGAATCCCATGAGGACCTCCCGTTCTTCTACAGAAGGGAGACGCACTTCACCACGCCGATTCTCCAAGCAGAAAACACGCCGATACTGGTAAGGTGGGAAACGATGACAATCCTCCTGCCAACGAGCCACCTCTTCTGCATTGCATTGATGAATCCCCGCAGGCCGCCGCCCCGGGCTGAGTCGGGGCCTACTGGTGGTGAAAGTAGGGAAAGGTTGCTGACTACACTTAGACCAACCAGGCTCCAGGAAGATGTTTACGTCAAACTCGACCTCCAAGACAACCTCCGTGACCTGGGACCACCCTTCCCCCGTGACCGATGTGATGGAAGCACCATTGCCGTCCTCCAGCTCCCAAGTAGGCCAATACAGACGCGG